GCCCAGGCGACATATATCAAATGACAGCTCACGCACATAGACTAGCGATGAAAGCCATTTAACGGATGGCGTCATAAATCGAAATCCTACATCGCACATGCGAATTAACATGGATAGGAAATCCCAACGAACAACTGATGGGCAGAAAGCCCCCAAGGAACGAACACCTCGCCTGATCGGAGGCTCCTCCTTCTCAGATTTTAGGGTACTCTACTTACTGGTCTTCAAGTAGGTTTTAGCTATGTAACTTTTAGTTAAGAGATGATTTAGGGGTAGTTGGTGAATATAGCAACAATATTAATTATTACCTATAAATATTTGTGAAGATAATTAGCACCATTTACATGCATGCTAAAATTATACATATAGAAAACTTGAACTAGGTATCTAAAAAAACAAGCAAAGTCGTAGCTAGGATTTTACATCCTGGGCGCTTATTCTTGAAACTAATCACAATGTCAATACAATCTCAATATTAGGAGATCGGACGACAATAAAGAAAAAATATAAAGTGTGTAATGTAAACAAATAACAGGTGACTCATTGCTTCTGACATTGACCAATCACAAACAACCACAGACCTACTATAATATGGACCAAAAATACCTACGAAATACGCGTGCATACCTACTAGAAACCGAGGCCTAAGAATGGCTGCCATTGCTAGGGAAGACTGTAGTCAAAACCAAAAAGTATCGATAGCCAAGTTTTATACATTTAAAATCTTCTGGTACTTTGGATGTTTTTTTAAGGTACAAACCATCGAATGACTTCTCGCGCTCTGGGTAGAGCGGGGGGCATGTCAGACTATTACTGGCTAAAACCATAGTGACAGTTGCCCTTTGTGTTTTAGGACTACACCTCCTTTTCAAAAATTACCCACGGCCCTAGCAAACGGGCATCGCCCGTGCTGGGCCCATACGGTTTGCGGACATTTAAAAACTGAAGCGCATGGATCACATGTTGTTGACGATTGAGCTCGGTCCGGTTAGTTACCAGATGGCGAGCAGCCCATTGTTCGACGTTCACTAGCCTGAACCATGTCCCGGCGTGAAAGGTCATTGTCACCTATTGCTTTCACGAGGACACGGCGATACTCTGCCCAAACGGGGACAACTCTACCGGTCTCCGGGCGGTGCATAGTCCACACAATGGTGACACCGGGGCGTTTCTTCCGCCTGAATCCGATACAGGAACTTAAGCGCTTGTGTGCTCGTAACTAGTGGCCCGAATCACGAATATACTATGCCAAACACACGAGCTATGCGCGCTGCTAAAGCCGCGCTCGATGCGGACAACCAGCCGAGCGACGTCAGCGACCGCGAAGATTATGACGAGGCTACGGAGCAGAGCCCTGTACGGGCCCCCGAACCTGTCCCCGCGTCTGAACGTACCGGCGCCAACGCTAGAACAACGGACACCGAGATGTTGCTAGCGAACATGATGGAATCATTCGTCAAGATGCAAGCTGAGACCAACAGGTGCCTGGTGGAGACACTGAGGGCGTTGCCAGCGGCCTGCGGGCCATGGCAATCGCCGCTGCCAGTATCAACACCGACGCTGAACGCCATCACTACAGGATCGTCTGGGAACTTCGCCAAATGTACCGCGCGGTTCAACGGAACTTCCCGTGAACCAGAGGTGCTGGAAGCATTCATCGACGCTGTCCAAGTGTTTAAGGAGTGCGCGGACGTGAGCGATGATCACGCGCTGCGGGGGCTCCCGATGCTGTTGGAGGGCGACGCCGCCGTGTGGTGGCACGGCGCCCGCAACACCGTCGCTAGGTGGAAGGACGCCGTGCTACGACTTCGCGCCATGTATGGTACGCCGAAGCCGGCGTATAAAACTCTACGTGAAGTTTTCAGCCAAGAACATAAACACGAACGTGCTGGTATATGTGTGTAGAATTAGGTCTCTATTAGTAAAGTTACCGTACGTAGTGCCAACACCCATGCAAATAGATATAATTTACGGGTTGTTACACCGTCGTGTACGTAAACGTTTACAACGTGACGACATTGTTGACATAGACGGTTTTATAGAGAAGGCGAGAGCCATCGAAGACGCGATCTCCGAATTATCGTTGAGTACCGAAAATTCTAGTTATACTGCAAAACTTAACGTTCCCGAAACAACAAATGTTTCCCACCCGCAAGCTTCGCGCGATTGCGATAAGAGTGATAAGAGCGAAATCACCACTACCACGGGTAATTCGAACGAGAACGCGAAAAGGGTTAAACGCGTTCGTTGCCCGTTTTGTAAGTTCTACGGTCATACGGTTGACGAGTGTAGGAATCTTAAAAATAAACAAGCCGCAAACACCGACTCCTTAAAAAATAATAATAGTATAGTGAGGTCGAAGTGCGACCGCTGCGTCGGGAAAAGTGTATCTCCGCGAACGTGCGATTTTAACACAGTGACTGACGATGAGGCCACACACGGCACGTAATATCATCATCACATCCAACCGTGTACATTAACATCGCGAATAGGGAAGGCCCCGTAAGGCTAACCCAGCAGCGGGGGCGCTCCGCATGGGTTAGAGGGGGAGGGTGTAACGCGCACGGCGAGCCGAACAAAGCCGAGCTAGGCTTCGTTTGCGCTTGCGCACTCGTCGCATCTCCGCACGACCAACGTGCGAATCTTCTAGAAAAAGTCAAGTCAACACGCATGTGCGAGACGCACGTGACCCGCGACGTTCAAACAAACGAGAGGCGGCCGTCACACAGCTCTGCATAGTTTTTCAATTTGTTTCCCTTAATCCCAGTTGGAAAAAATATTTTACGAGTTTTCTTTGTTAACATTACAAGTGTACATGAATAAAATCTGCATAATATTTAACGAATTTTCAATAAAACCTTTTTGAGAATTAACTAAGTTTTATATTTGAAATACAAAACTCATAATATTTAAAATATAAAACTAAAATTTTGATAATTAACAACATTTTTAATCTGTTCTATAATCAATCACGTCGCGTGACGTCATACGTGGGTAATGAACTTAAACAATAATATCGATTACAGGCGTCTTACTGGATGTACACTCTTTATTTACCCACGTATGACGTCACGCACTCTAGTTTGACAGTTGGTGGTGTTCCGCGGCAATTTGATAATTATTATTTCTTAACACGTTTTAAAAGCAATAACGAAAAAAATAATATTTTTACGGGTATAATACACCGCTAAATTTTAGTCGTTTTAATCCCATGGACCTGTGGTTTAACTAACAGAATACTACTCATTTCAAGCTTGTACTGCGGTGTAACATAAAAAATAAATAAATTAGCAAATGATAAGATTATACTCGCAAAATGTATGAAACCAAAAGTTGCGCCACGAGATAGTTACCTACGTCGTCGTCGGTCGTTGCGCTTGCGTATCGTCGACGGTCGGGCAGTGTAGGTACCTACACGGCGGCTTTTGACTCGATCAACTGATGTTTGCGAGTCCACGTTGACCAGCGACCGCGTCAATGTTGTTAGGTTGTTACTGATAGGAATGCTGCCTACTAACGGTTCGCATTATTTATTCACTCATGCGAGAATTGATTCGAGTTATTAAAAAAAAAGTACTTTATTTTTTAATTTTATATTTACAAATCGATAGTGTTTCATGGACCAGTTCGAACCTTCAAGGGATTAAAACGATTCAAATTTAACGGTGTATAAATAATCATAAAGATTAGTTTAAAATAGTTTTTGAAAAGTTGTCCGATCCCCTAGTAACGCCTGCTTCTATTCTATACGGTATAATATTACAAGATGTCTGAGCACACATTTTCACTATAATAATAACATAACATAACTATATAAAGTAACAAATGATAAACAACTTTATTAGTATTGCTATAAAGACTAAAATTATATCATAAGTCTTACTGGGGTATTCTAATATAAGTTCCTATTTATTTAGAAAAAGACTTTTCAAACGGATTTATAATAATTGCCTTTTCACACGTACCGGTTGCCGCCGCCGCGCCGACTTGTGAAAAGCGGTCTGGTGTGATTTCTGCGGTGCAATGCTATCTATAGGATGCTGACTCTTGAAACCAATATCAATGTCAATGCAATTTCAATCCAATAAAATCTCAATAATTATTCAATGTCAACACTGTATACACAATAACACCACAGTCGTAGCTGTTACAATAGCAGGGCTGATCGGATACGGAGCCGCGGAAGACTTAACGGGTTGCCGGGGCTCCGGCTCGAAGTGCAGGAGTAGGAACGGGGTGGTTTTTAGTCAGTAAGAGTCTGACACTCCCTCCCGCCTCACCCGGGCGGGAGAAGTCATTGGATGATTTTCCCCCCCAAAAAAAAAAAAAAAAAAAAGCTGTTACAATAGCATTCAGAGTACGGAATATAAAGTCAAACTCAATACCATTTAGTTTATTTTGTATCCACACAATACGGAGTGTGCGTTACCCAGGCCAGATGTTGTCGAAAATAGTCATTTGAATCTTATAGATTATTAGTTTTGCAGCTTCTGTAACTGTTGCACACATTTAAAAAAATTTTTGCGCTTGTTGTTTTTTAATTATTTCACAAAAAACATTTCCGGCTGGGGTAACGTTACCCCAACCAGAGCTTTTTCTTCCTAATGGAAATATTCACAAAACCAAAAACGTTACCCCAGCAAAATCTCGATTAACTTCGCAGCTAATGAAAGAACAAATACAAAATAAGGCACAACATTTACTGCATCTACAATTAATTTTATAGCTAGTAATTATTTAAATATTCCCATTAGAAAGAAAAAGGCCTGGCTAGGGTAATGTTACCCCAGCAGGAAATATTTTTGGGAAATAATTAAAAAAACTACTAGCGCAACAAAATGTGCGCAACAATTACAGAACCTGCAAAACTAATTATCTATAAAATTCAAATGACCATATTCGACCACATATGGCCTGGGTAACGCGCACCAATACGGATGCAATGGCCGCTAGTGTTGCAACTCAAGAGTACGACACAATACTAATGTCCATCGATTGGAATTGGATTCAAGAGTAAGCCCCAGTTCAGCATGTGCAAGACAGGGCCTTGCGCTGGTATTCTACTGGCCCCATAAGTGACTTAGTCAGTACGTGTGAAAGATACAGTACATGGCTATACATTGCGCTGCCGGGTATCCATTTTTTTATATTTGACCACTATCTCGCCTGGTGGTAAGCGATGATGCGGTCTACGATGGAGCACGTCGTCCCATAACCAACCTATTCACTCGGGCCTTGAAGACACTCAGTTTATACCCTTCAGAAAATATAGATACCAGTTACCCGGCAAGGTAACGTGTATCAAGGCACGTAAACCGACGCTTTGTTGCCCAGATACAAACACTAAGCGACTGTACTCGCGTCGATAGCAAAGGCGCTACTGAAAATAGAAAAATACGTTCATGTGAAAGCTAAATGTGATACCGGACAATCGGCGCCGATTACCCGGCAACCGGCACGAGTGAAAAGGCACTAAGTGACCTCAAGTTCGTTTCTCGGATTGAGCAAAGCACTTCTAGTGGCATGGAGTCTAGAATTGTTGTGCCTGACTTATCCGTCCTGACTTACCTTGAGTCACCCCCATGAAAATTTATGTCATTCCTTCCTCATGCATTTTCTTCTCTCTAGGACGATCATACTCTTCAATGCACTGGCTATAGTATACCTGAGTTCATGGAATTTATCATATGATAGACGATATATATTTGTCTGTCCATCAGTTAGATGCAGAATTAATATGACATGGGTATCTCGGTGAATTATTTCTTTTGTTCGTTGTGAAGATGGCTTTTCGGTTGATATTGTCGATTGGCTGTAACAGAAATTTGGTTATTTCATATCTACTAGATTTGATGTTATAGTACAAACAAAATTAAAATTAATAAAATAAATATATGGGCTAATTGGGCACTTGCCAACTAGTCAAATTCAATACTTTTTTCGAACTAATTTTACTTTTTTTTTGTTGACGTTCAAAAGTGCCTTTCTGGTGTAATTGAAATAAATAATTTTGACTGAACTGTCAAAAATGACAGTTTTCTATGAATTTTGTACGAGATTGTGTATTGTGACGTCACGTTTTTTTAGCGTCAAACAGCATAGTTATTTCGTAAACATTTGCTGGAAAAATACTAAAATTAAGTTGGTCATAAAATCAATTAATGAAAGTGTGATTATTTTTAAATATATTATTGTTTTGAATACTCGAAATAAATTATTTTTGATTAAAGAAAGTGCCCGATAGGGTAGATGACTAATTTTAATTTTAATGTCCGTCTGGTAGGTTGTTTTAAATCATTAGACACAAATTTTTAATTTTCTTACAGAAACGAATTTTTTTGACGATATATTGATTTGAAATGTCGCGTGACGTCACTTATATGTACATTTTATACGTAGAAATGACGTTGTAGCCCCCAATCCTAAACTTTGATTCGTTTTATCGAAGTATTGTTTTATTATACGGCAAAATAAAAAAAAATACGTGTGTAATATTTTTTCATTACCTAAGTTACGGACTAATTAGATTTAGATTTTTAATGTTCATACCCTGTCATCATCCCAATTATTAATATTAGTAAGACTTGTAAGATTAGTAGGATTTCCTTACCATAGTGAGATGTCTATCTTCCAGCTGATGCTGACCAGGCCTGGCTTCACTCGGAGGTGTGTCGGAACATTCTCATACATTTTATCTGTACACAGTAATGCTGTGAGTTCGGATACACAGTCTGGTGAGAACCTGTAGAGATAATATGAATAATGTGTGTGAGAAGAGGCCTTAGATCAGCAGTGTTAATATACCACGCTTGCTAAATGCAGGTTTGCGATTTCAAACTAATAATTAGAAGTCTCACATTGTTGTCCTTGACCTGGGCGCTTACATTTTAACCTGATCTCAGTGTCAATGCAACTAAAATCCAATAAAATCTCAATAATATTCAATGTTAACACTATACAACCACATTGTCGA